CGCCAAAATGTACCTGCCTGAGGGTACACTCGTAATCTTTAGGGGAATATGAGGACCAAACGAGAGCTTTAGGTGGATTCTTCGGAGGGGGAGGTACCTGCAAAAGATACTCCGATGCTTAAGTCAGTGTGGGCACGATTTTCTAGGGTAATGAATGAACAGTGACATACCTTGTTGTGCGTGACCTATTTATAGCATCTGACATGGGCCTGAGCGTGATGGGCCCTCTCAGATATTTACCAAATTAGGTAATACGGTACTAATTGGTTGTTAGGCTTTAATCATGTACTTACCTTTCTTAATTGTGATTACTGTTATGACTTGTTTAACTCTTCGGCAAGAGGCCGAGCCGACTATTCAATACTAGTCGGAACGGCAAATGACCGAGCCGTCTAGTCCGTATACGGCAGCTTGTATACTTCCGGTACGATCTATGTCGGAACGGTACTTGACCGAGCCGACTCGATGAGTGATGATGGTCCATATTGGCGTTAACCAGACTGATGTCGGTTCTCGCCCTCATGCCGAGCCGACGTTGATGGTGATCCTTGTACGTGGCTTACTATGCATGAGTGTCTGACAAAATGGCACGTGTTGGCCCACGTGACCGATACGGTCTCTCCGGTACAATTTTCAAATTTTTTAAAATTCACAGATGCATTAAGAATTTTAAATTGAACGGTTGGATCGTTAAAATTTAATGTAAAACATGAATTATTAAACGGAGTAAGTCTAGGTAGATTTACTCCTATAGGAGGAAAATAGCAACTTAATTTGTTGAAACTTTAATGTATGCCGGTGAAGCCAGATACAAAGTTGTATCACAGTAAAAAATGATTACTCCATTAGAAATATAAAATATAGAAGCATTAATAATATAATAAAGTCAAATAAGGTGTCTCATTTGGTGCTGTACACAGGAAAAATCTATTGCTATGCCTACTTGATATCGAAAGAAGACTTGTGGAATTTGATTTCCTCATGTTTATATCTACCCCTAATAGGTTTTTCCACCTACTACTATAATTTGGCATCTTCCTCAGCCCAACTGTAACTGCTCCTCAGAAGCCTTTTCTTCTGCAACTAGCCCACAACTTTTCCATCATTGATTAGGATTGAGTATTAATCGAACCAAATCAAAATTAATTTGAGATTCAATTTGTTTAAGAATTCGTTGAATTTGGTTTATGAATCAACATGTCTAATGATTTGGAAATTAATTTTGAATGAAATACGTTAAAGTGTTTTACATTAGTGCAACTCATCTTGATAAGATTGTGAATGTTAAATGTTTAGTCCAAATTATTTTGATTATTATTAACCCAAAGGATTCGAGGTAACAAATTAAATTGTTTAGAAACTAAAATTGAACTATGAAATATGATTAATAGATAATCTTGCTCTTTAATCATGTGATCAAGAGTTTAATCTATAGTCTGTATATATGAAATAACATTTTTAAAGAAGATCAACTCCTCAACTCTACATTCCAAGGAATGTGAATTAAGTTACCATGTGAGATGTTGAAAAATTCTTTGTACATGAAATTATCAATGAGACTATATTTATATATATAAAGGAAATTTTCAGATAAACAAGTTAAAAACTGATGTCTTAATAAGATAAGTTTTACATTAACTTTTAATATGTTGACTTGTCATTTAAAAGTTTAACTACTTGATAACCAACCTTAATTGGTGAATCATGCTTATGAAAGTATTTAACATATAATAATACTTCCCAAGCTAATTGTATGGAGCCAATTTATATAATGTTATACCTTAGAGACCGATTATGAAGCAAAAATCCCATTGCTTATTGACATAAAACATCTCTTCCGTTTGTGTACATGCTTTTGTAATTCATATTGCTACTTAGCTCTTTACAAGGATAACCTTAAAGATGTACATTATCATATCCAATTCATTGACCTTTAAATTCCATGATGATGTCTGAGATACATTGCTAGCACATCAAGCGTTTCCATTAGCTGCTATTGCAGGACTTGTCTTCCTCTTCCTCTCAGTGAAGCTACTACATGAAACCAAGCTTGGAAGACAGCATTGCACAGATTTAACTGTTTTCTCTCTAATGGGTGCATGATCATCATTCATTGTTCTTTCACTACTGCATGCAGAATTGCCTCCTGAGACATAAGGAGTACTGTGTGCAGATTTAGAAATAGGAAGAAGATCATGTATACTTGTTGGTTTCACTTCTTTCTTTTCATTGTCACAAGTGTTCTCAGCATCATCATTTTGGTGGTGTTCTCTCACACTCTCGCGAAAAAGATCCAACAGCTTCTTCTTTTGAGTTGTTGGAGATGGTTCAGGAACAGAACTAGGATCAGAAGAAGGGGTTTTATTGAGAAAAATGTGGTGCACTGGGGTGGTGCCACGAGATGGGGTAAACTCTGGATAAAAACAAAGAAACGTGTTAGTCATTTGGAGGGAGAAGGGTTGTGGTACAACATTGAAAAGAGAGAAACTATAACAAAAGGTATTCACATGTTCTAAAGAGTTTTTGATTCGTAATAAAAGTGGTTTAATGAAAATGCTATTGCTTATTATGCTATTATTTACATGACAGCTTAACTGTCATAGTTAAATCATGAACCTTTCCTCCATGACAATTTTGTGTTTCCTTTAGTTACCTTTTTAGACCCTATAGTTCCATAAACTTTATCTTTTAGTCTCAATAATTAAAATAAAAAAAAATCATTTTAGCCTTTATACACACCATTTTATTTTTTTCATTTTAGTCTCTCCAGTCGCATAAGCTTTTCCTTTTAATCTTTATAATTACATAAACTTTCATTTTTAATCTCTATAGTTGTATAAACTTTTCCCTTTTAATCCATATAAAATTCCATATAAAAATAGACGATAGGGATTAAAAGGAAACAAAAATGATATGTTTGGGACTAAAATGAAATGATTTTAACCATAAAGATTAAACTGTAAAGTTTATGAAATTATAAGGGCCAAAAGAGTAATTAAACCAACAAAATATTCACTATGCAAAGTTTCACCTCGTACTCATCGTTAAGCACAAAATCAGGCCAAGTAAACGGATTAAGATACGCTATAAGAAAACTGCTAAAGGAAAAGGCATTGCAGGGCTTCCTTACCACCCTTGACACTATAGAAATCATCATCACAATCTGAGTCTAACCAGGCCTTTGAATCAAAATATGCTTCCTCTTTGCCATCTGTACAGGATAATAAACCAAGTTCAAAAAACCATGATAGAAAACTGACACGAAAATCATGTTACCAAAAAAATAATGATAATAAAAACATGTGTATGGCATGTGAAGGGCTAACTAGGATTTTATCAAATGAAGTGAGAAAAAACAATTTAAAGCGACCAATAAAATGTTAAATTGGCTTTTGATTCTGGAATCTTGCAAGAAGAGAAAGAAACAAACTCTTACTTCCATCACTTCATCTATTGACAAGTAATAAGGACAATGTAGCCATTTAAGTCTCTTACTTTGTTTGAAGGGGGACTAAGACAGCATGGATTCAACTACTTGTTATTAGGTAATTAACAAGTTACAGTCAATAGAACTTTCCATGTCAGTTAATCTGCCATCTCAACCACAACACATGGACTCTGTAAACAAGCACATGAACCAATTCAAGGCTGAATATAGGACTCATTTATTGCAGAAACAGTTGAGTCTATTTGTGTTCTAGTGTGTTTAGAACTTAGAAGACCCTACTCAACATAAAACAAAATATCAACATAAAACAAAATATGGCAGTTCAAGAGCAATAATTGTTTCTCGTTTGGAGTAAGAGCAATAATTGTTATTTGTTAGAACACGTCAGAAAAGGAAGATTACAATGTTTGAACATTTCTAATATTTTCCTATAATTAGAGTTAATGGACTACCACACAGTATTATCTTAATCTCTGTTATTAAATAGCAATTTTTCTTTCACCATTCGAAGATATTACTAGTTCTACAATTCTTACTCAATAGTAACCCTCAACATGATCAGCTTGTTGTGGTCCATAACTTGAAGTTGACTGAAAACATGCATAATATTCAGTGAGAAACTTACTCACAGATAGAGTACAGCCATCAGAGTGGTGCTAAATTACTGGTCCCCAAAAAGATAAAAGCTCCAAAAGGCAGGGACCATGATAACTTATAAGCATTACCAGACTACCATAAATAATACTTAATACAATAACTGCCATAAAGCACCCATCACATGAAACTAAAATCACAAGTAACAACCAAAGCATATCATGAATTCAACCAACACTTTGTCACCAAAATAACCATGGTGTGTGGGATTCTACAATCTACGTCCTGAACACACAGTTGTCTGCAAATACTGTTAGTGAATGCTAGATATGGCAAGAATTAAGACACATGGGAATTTATCTAAACCTCTTTCATCCCCCCAAATAACTAGAACAAAGAGAAAAAGTGATGGATTGGTAAAACAGGATCTTCAAGGACACTCATGGCTTTTTTCCATATTTCAAAGCAATTATAGATTAAAAATTACTCTGCCAGAAAATTCATTGACATAAAGATTGCCACCAAATCATTTACGAAGAAAAAATATGGAAGTAAGGAGGATGCATTCCTTAATAAAATAAAACAAACAACAAAACCATATTCAGAAAACTAATCACCGTTAAGGCTTAATAAGCTGCTGATGTCAATACTAGCCCTTTCAATTTCTACCACCACAGGTTATTAAAGACAATAACTTTTTTTCAGAAAATATCGTACCCCTCACATAGACCAAATAAAGGTAAAAAGATTCCATAGATAGTATACCCAGAACAAAAACCCATATTCATATGCAACAAAAAAGCATCATGGAACTTAAGAGACAACCACAGCATATATAGAAAACATAAACAGTAGTAAAGAACTGTGATATAAAAAACTAGAATGATTTACTACCATCAATTTGTGCATGACAACAGAAAATGACCATATGAACGTACAACAGAAATTTAATACACAAATCATATCCGAATCCGATCGAGCTAACAGGAAGATAACCATTATAAACAAATATAATTTAGAAAAGAAAAAAAATAACAATTCAACCACGAATAAAATATAAATCAAAAACCACTTTTAAATGATAATTAGTAGGCCCAAAGGATACCTTGGAGTTCTAATTACGATGGTCAAAGGAAAAAAAAAAAAAAATCATCTTTATATAACAGATACAAAAATAAAGAAACCCCCAGATAAAAAGTTTGGGTTTTGATAATATATATCATTAAAACAGAGCCTTTATAATTTATACGATGATGATGGTACATGAAAATAAAAAATAAAAAAACAAAAAAGACAACTTTTCATGATGATGATGATGATGCGTTAAAATAGAAAGTTTAGAAGCTTGGAAGGACCCCAGAGGAAGCATACCATTATCTCCAGAGTCTGTGACAGAGAAGGTGGTGGCTGACTGAGAGGGTGACCAGTGAGGCTTATCATCAACCTCAAAGTTTCCATTTTTGGGGTTGTCTTTGAAGGGTGATGAAGGAATGAGGAGGTTTTCAGCTTTGGGTTGGAAGGAGAGGGTGAGGTGCTTCATGTTGGGTTGTTGGCTTCTGTGGACAGAGGAACATGAACCCATTTCAGTGTTTAAATGGAAAGAGGGTGGAGAATATAAGAAGAGTTCATGCCTAGAGAAGAGTGGAGTGGAAGAGAGAGAGAGAGAGAGAAGAAGAAGGTGTTATTGGTGTTATGACAAAGGCGAAGGAAAATGCGTTGGTAAGAAAAGAAAAGTAAAACGGCGAATGGGAGAGGGAAGAGAGATGGGGTGAAAGTAAGAGATGATTGGCCTTCAAAGGAAAGGAGATCATCACAAATATCAAATATGCCAACTCTACATTATTCTCATGGAAAAAACAAATATTCTTTAACACATTATAGGATAAAGGAAAAGAAAATATATGAATTCATGATATAGTGCCATATCAAGAGACCGAGAAAAATCAATCATTTCTGGTTTAGATTTTTTTTATTTGATAAAGATAGAAAATATTATAAAGATAATTTATGGTTTTTTTTTTTTTTCGTCCCTGGAGTATAGATAGCTGAACCCAAGATTTAACGCGGCTACATACACAAGACAGGATTCGAACCCCTAACCTTGCTTAAGCGTGGATCAACCCTTACCGCTGAACCACACGCTTGGGATTATTATTTGTGATTAGATATAGATAGTCTTATTTTTTTAATTATTTGATTAGAATTTTAATCTCTCAATCAAAAGAGTTATTAATTATTAATTAATAAATATCTTAACTTAAAAAAATAAGAAAAATAGTGTGATACTTCTTAAAAAAAAAAATGTTGATGAAGTGTTTAAAAATAATGTCGAAATATTATTACTCTATTCTTCTATACTATCCTTTAAATAAAATAAGCTTATCATTCGTAAATAAAATATTTATTCTTAAAATAAATATTATCATGAAATTAACATTTTCAACATTTATGTAAATTTAGTCATAATTTTTTCAAAAAAGATATTATAAAATATTTATACTATCAATTTATCCTATTTGAATCTTTTTATTTTAAAACTTATAGCTAGATTTTTCTCGTATTAGTTAGAATTTAAATCAGATTTAAATAAAGTGAAAAAGTGTATTTTAGAACTCACAATTGTTAATTAAAAAAATCAATAATTGATAATGATGATAAAATTAGATACATATATAATAAAATCTAAAATTAATTATAACATTATTTATTAATTATTAGTTTATAATTATTATTATATTTTATTCTTAAATAAAATTCTATTCACTATTCACTTTAAAAGAACTGAATTCATTTAACTCAAGACCAAGAAGTTTATTGCTGCACTAAAACCCTTGCTAATTTTTATCTTGATTGATTTCTAAATAGTTGGTAATATAAAATATCTAATTAAGATTCTATTTTTATTTTGTACTCGAAAATAATTTTTTATTACTTATGATTTTTAGACAGAGTAATGTGAAAAAAAAAAATATTAAAGACTAATGCGAGTTTCCTAAATTACTAGGTTTCACTTTACATAGTTCAAGTTTTATTTAGGAATTAGAGCGGATACACTTTGTTATAGTATTAGAAAATTAATATGTAATTTTTACTATATATAGGAATTATGTTAAGTCAAGTTTTGTCAGTGGTCAATTTTTTTGTTTTTTTTGGGTTTTACTATCAAAATTCTTTGGTCTAGCGATTCAAAAACAAATTTTATTTGTAATAGTGTAATTGTCATGAATTTGAAAGATCTTGCATCAAACTAAAAAAAAAATATTTACAAAATATTTAAACCATTGTACTTTTTTATTATCAAACCTGATTTGACTTCGTGATTTTCTTTCTTAAATTTGATTTGTTGATTTATTATAAACTAATTCAACTTTTATATAAGTCTAAAGACTTATTTTATATTAATGTTTTAAATAGACCGGCCGGTAGAATTATTTATAAACAAAAGTTAATATACTTACCGACTAATGAATATATTGTTGAAAAAATTAATAAATTTGTGGGTTAACAATCTTATAACTGTTTATTTCGATATGTTTGAATTTGGTGCCAATTAATTAAAATTATAATTGATAATTAATATAAATCGATAAATTTTCATTTATGGTTGAATGATCGTGTAAGATTGTTTTATATTTTTTGTGCATCACTATTATGTTTATACGTTAATTGGCATGTCACACTAAAAGTATTTTCTTTTATTCATTATCAAAGTGTACAAATTAATTAAAAAATTATAATTGATAATTAATGTAACATTTATGATTGAATGATCATGTAAAACTGTTTTATAATTTTAGTGCATCACTGTTATGTTCGTAGGTTAATAGACATGTCACACTAAAAATATTTTTTTTATTCATTATTAAAGAGTATTTTTCGTCAAATTACAATCATTATGAAGAAATAAATAAAATTATGTTAGATTTTATAAATATGAAAGCTAGATCATGCAAAAAAAAAAAATATTTTAATTGTTAAATATATTGATACAAAGATTTGCTAACTTATACTTGTTTTTATAAGGAAAAAAAAACATTAATAAGTTACATTTTCTAAACTTTTTATAGTTATGATATCGATACGAAATATCTATTAATTTTATTGATACTTAATCTTAATTAAAAAATTTAATTTAAAATTAGTCATTTTTAACAAAGTCTTTTTTTTCTATTATATTTTTTTATATACAAAATTTGAATATAAAACATTATTTAATAAATTCAAGTTTGATTTTTTTGAACTAATAACTTGGTGTAATTTTAAAATCTTATAATTAAAATACTTTTTCTAAAATAAAATAAATCAATGTACTTTAACAAATTATCCTTTAGGGATAGCTAACTTAGACCTACTTAACTTTTAGAAAAAGTATTTTCATAAGTTAAACACTGTATTTTAACAAAACAGAAACTATAATTCACTAAAACACTTCTTATAAAAAGTAAATAGATATATTTGCAAATATCAATATTATATATATATATATTAACATTTATTAAAAATAATGTTATTTTTTTTAAATAGGTCAATTAAAAAATTATTTTTTAAAAAAATATGTTTAATCTTTTTACTAAGTGTGTGTTTAAATTATAATTTATAAAATGAAATTTGGTATAACAGTTTTCTAAAGTTAAATTTAACTAAAAGCATGAATAAAACTTTATTTGTATTCAGATGCTTTTATTTTAAAAATACTTCTATCAAAGTAAAACTTGTTTGTATGATATTAATTGAAAGCACTTCAATTGTATAATTACTTAAAATTTTTTGTATAATTACTCCAAAGAGTATGAATTTTATAATGTGCTATTAATATTACTTCATTAGATTTTAAGTATATTTAAAGTGACTATATTATTATTATTATTATTCAAAAAATATAATTTTCAGGCTTGTTTTAACAATCCAAAATAACCATAACACCGATTGATTGAGATAAATAGCACATCACCTATTAAAAAGAAAATGAATTGGTACACACTCAATTAAAACAAAGAAATCTAATTTCTAAAAGACATTGTGAGAGAGAGAAAAAGGATGAAATCAGATAAGCTTTCAAACCACATCTAAATCTTCTCTAACATACAAGGGGTAATGATGTGCATGTGTTACATATTATAATTAATTAATTACATTTGAACATATATTCAATAGAAAAGCATGAAATAAATGAGTGTTTGGATTGTTATTTGTAAGTCACCAAAATGTTTATTCATGCATTCGGAAGCTCAAAATGGAGAAACAAGCTTATCAATGAATTGAGAAAGAAAAATAATGTAGATTATCTTCAACTCAACGTTTTTTCTAAATATAATTTTTTAAGTAGTTTTAGGTCAAAAACTAACGTCTAAAAGCCAATAATATTTGAGTTAATAATAAATGAAAGTTACCAAATAAAAAAGTGCAATATTCTATTAAGATAAACGCTCCTTTGGACGTTTAAATAAGAAACTAAACACACTCTAAATAAGTTATGTAAAAATAATTTTTAAATAAGTTAGACAATAAATTTCTAAACATACTTTAACATATTTTCATCCCTATTTGTATATGTAAGAAAAACAATTTTATATTTAAATTTATTTATATTTGTAACAACTTTGGTGTCAAAGTTTATTTATAAACATGGTAGTGGAAAGTTAAAAGTAATATGCAATGAGTCATGTAGTAGAAAATTAAAAATAAAGTAGTATTCATTCCAAAATGTGACCATTTAAAAGAAAATGACTCCGACACAGTCTCATGCCGATTGTGTATTTTAATTATTAAAACATGTTCCTTTTAGTATGTTCTTCAACAAACTAACAAACTAAAAATATTAATTTTATACTAATATCAACTATGAAAATTAATAAAAGTACAAATTAAAAATATATTACTTACACTCACTAAATCGGTAAAAGACCTATCATACAAAACTAAATTTTGCATGTAATCATTTAATGTGGGTTCAGTTATTCTTTTTAAGGGGTTACAATTAATAAAATTCTCACATGTTTTTTTTTTACACCATAAAATCCTTACATGTAACAATGTCATATTATGGGATTGTCAAAATAAATAAATAAAAGCCATGTCATATTATGAAAAGGGGAAAGATTATAATAAGACTCCTCATCATTATTTATATAAATCCATTTCTTTTTCATGACTTATATAACATAAGAAGACATTATAATGTTATTTATCAACATGAAAGAACCTAAACCTTTTCGCTTTCACAAATTTTTATACTTATTGTACCAACAAAAAGGGAATTGAAGTTATTTGATAAAATTATTAGAGTTAACCAAATAAAAGAAAAAATGAAAATAAGATATCAAAAAAGTGTACAATTTATTATTCTCAAAATGTAAGTTGTTACATGAAAAAAGATGAATAGTTCGGATACAATATACTGAATCAATATTTTGGGTGCTTTCATGAATTAATTATGTAAAAAAAAAAAAAAATTGTATATGACAAGACTTAAATAATTGTTATATTAAATGCATATCTTTCGTCGACATAACAACGTGTGCGTGGTATTTCATCTCATGAGCCATGAGTCATGAGTCATGACTGCTACATGTGCTGAGTATAGTTATTAAGCTATTATATATTGTATGTATTAATTCTTTAGGATGGGACCCATAACACATGAATTGAAGATGACTAGTTTTTTAAGAATCCAAACAATAATCATATCATACTATACATTTATATAATATTTTTGACACACATTTTATATTATTTCTATTTCTCATATTATCATATATTTTATTTATTTATATTTTCAAATTAAAATTATAATATTAATTAAAAGCT